AAGGTTGTAAATAATAAATGATAATTGTAGTGGGAGTCTTTATGTTGTGGATGGGGGGTATTGTGTGTCTTTCACAAAAATCACTAGATTTGGTGTAATACACACAATACGGTGGCGGTTTTTCCCCCCATCTTTGATGGTTGTAACATTTTTCAGATTATGTAATCATTTTGAATAGGGTTTAAATTTGAAGTTGATGTGTATATGGTTAATTTCAATTCTAATCTGTCACATATGTTATATTTGTGATCATACATTTTATCATACCCGATTATGATTATGGATTAGTATGATTATGATTTCGACACTTCTTGGAACTGATCTGTAATTACTGATTATATAGATTGACTGATTGTGATTGATTATATCAATTGATTGTGAATTTTGATTGAATTGTATGATTATGAATTATTGATCTAGTTTTGACTTCGTCATTTTAATAAATGACAATTTTCAATTCAATACATTTTCTATTGTATTTTCTATCAACCATCAAACAAAGCACAACATACAGAAATTGTGCCATAAATGCACATTTGTATTTTATAAATAAATTTATGGCACATCTTTGTAGTAAAAGGGGAATAACTCTAACATTACACTTCATGATAACTTGGTATGATGAAACGCGCAGTGAGCACCCGCTGAAATACGTCATAAAAACCCCATCCCAAGCAAGGGCTCCATGCAGAATCTATTGCTAACACATGTCCTATTAACTCGATTTTACAAAACCCAACCCACCCTCCCCTTTTTGGTATATATTTTAATACAAATAGCTATTTTGCCAATATCAAAGGTTTATGGGGCGGTTTTCCCCCCATCTTTGATGCTTGTAACATTTTTCAGATTATGTAATCATTTTGAAAAGGGTTTAAATTTGAAGTTGATGTGTATTTGGTTACTTTCAATTCTAATCTGTCACATATGTTATATTTGTGATCATACATTTTATCATACCCGATTATGATTATGGATTAGTATGATTATGATTTCGACACTTCTTGGAACTGATCTGTAATTACTGATTATATAGATTGACTGATTGTGATTGATTATATCAATTGATTGTGAATTTTGATTGAATTGTATGATTATGAATTATTGATCTAGTTTTGACTTCGTCATTTTAATAAATGACAATTTTCAATTCAATACATTTTCTATTGTATTTTCTATCAACCATCAAACAAAGCACAACATACAGAAATTGTGCCATAAAATTCATATATGAAAACCAAGTATCTTAACTTATATCGTATCGATGTAGGAATGGAAATTATCATTGGTAATTGACAATACATCGTCGATCTATATAAATGTCGAGTTTAAGGCCAAAACAAGTGTTTTCTTTTCACGCATAAGATTGTGCATAAATTCTGCTTCATGTGAATATAAAAATAAGTCTGCTGATAACGGATTTATGGGAATTTCAATAGATTGTTGGAATACCTGGTCTCTAAAAACCACATCGATATTGTCAATCAGAAACTCTTGATGTCAACTTCTGAGTACTTATGTGTGCAATCAGAATCTGTTTTAACAAAATATTTTTGCAAAAGACCAATGACGAGGTAAGTAAATTTACGAGTTCCATCGCTTTCTTTCGCCTTTTGTCTTGCATGGTTCATTTTTCAAACCTGATGGACATTAACTGTGCATCCCCTTTCTTTCTGAATCTAATTTGAAAAAAAACAGGTAATTTGGAGGCATATTCTTCCTTAATGGCTTGTGTACACAATTCATAGATCTATAAAAGTTTTTTCGGGGACTACACTTTATAGAATGTATAAAAGGAACCCATTCCCCCCTTTTGACGTCGTTTTCAAGTCCCTATTTCTTTGGACGCTCCATGAAAAATTTACGATAAAATTCCATAGAACTTTCAGAATGAGGTAAAAATTGCATATTTTATGGAACAATGGCGTCCCAATACATATCTGAATTTACGGAATTTTTGGATATCAAATATTCATTTTAAAAGTGTTTTTCTCGGGTACATTTCTAGGTCAAAAGAATAAAATATGATGCTAAGTAGTTATTTAAAAATTCATTGATGTACCTAAAGAGGCTTAAATTTTATGGCGCTAGTCCGCAAACTTTTTGATACCATATGCACATTTAGGAATGATATAATTTTTATGATTATTCAATGTTAATAGTTTATGATAATTCTACCGTGAACAAACACGACTTGAATGCTATAAAAACGTTTTAAGCGGGATTAAAAAGAATGACTGCACTTAAGCTATGAGAGTTGGATCCCGATGTTTCGCGCAAAATAAAATTCCAAAATTCATTTTATTTATGTTTTATAGGTATTAAACAATATATTAAGAGCAGGTTTTGGTATATTATTCTACATGAAAGTATTAAACAATGCCGAGCGACACTAGCTTTTGAGACGGGGGTCTAATAGTTTTGTCTCATTTCTATTGTTATTCATATGCATACCAGTTTTCAACGACTTTGTTTACATCGAGCCGCAACTTGGCCATTTTTCTTATTTGCACAGAATGTGTATGTTAACTTAAACTTATACATATCCAAAGGACAATGTTGGCCAAGTTGCGGCTCATATCTAATTTTAAAAAAATGTCCCCAAACTAGGGGTCGAGATAGCTACTAAATTAATCGGCCACCGAACATCAACGATTGATATTATAATCACCTTAATCACGTGACGTTCTGCTGTTCGATACGCTAACGCTTTCATTGAACATTTCATTGTGTTAAGTCTCTGTTGTGACAGTATCTATCGTACTTCCAACTTCAAACTGTGGGATATTTTTGCGCAAATTTTATTAGGGTTTGAAGATAATTATAATATGTCTCTTATTTAACTTTGTGCTTTACATAGGGGGTGTTTTGAACGAATTCTGGTATTGACAGTGTCAATAGTAAGTACATGTACATGTATAGGCTAATGTCGCCTCTGTATTATTGCCTGTAGAGCAAGACATCAACCCCATCCGTTATCATTAGAATCATTTAATTATTGTGCACCATAAAATCAGCACGATCTCTCTCTTCTCCATTTGAATTCGTGGTGCGAAAAAAATCATATGTGCTAATGTTTACATTCCACAACCATGCGGTTTAATATTGACTCCGCCTATTTGCGGATACCTTAGATTCGAAAGTGGTACCGTTCAAATTTCCGGAATTTAAGGCTTTTACTCGTTCTTCTCAATTACATTTTCTGTAATCATAGAAATATGTATGACAAAAAATTTTAGAAATAAATATCAGAAACATATGCTTGCACATTAATCATAGATTAATTTAGCGCTATGTTGTAATGTTAATCTTAAAATGGGTAGTCGAAAAGGTTCCAACTCTCATAGCTTAAGTGCAGTCATTCTTTGGTACAAGGAGGTAGCAATCCAAAGAGTTAACGTTAAAAATTTGATACATATAATTATTTTAGATAATAAATAATAAGTATTATTTATTTATTGAATGTTAAAAAACGACCATGTAGTTTCTGGTATGCGAGGTAAGATATTGGGATATGTGGCATTCGTGTTTATTACTTATTCTCTTTTCGCCACGTTTTACATCTATCCTTAGTACATGTATGCCCATTAAAAGTTTGCATAGCTTAATATTCGGCGCTCATGAAATCCGTGATATTTTCAATCTTTTATGTAGTCCATACGACAATCACTTATGTCAGGTGGATTTATACACATTGAATCTGGGCGGCATTGATGAAAATCGGATGGGTGAGCAAAATTATCTTTACAAACATATATATAGTATATTGTGGTAAATGTTATAATTGAACTTGATAAGAACTTTCTGGCGTGATTTGTCCTCGGTAAATGATATCATTGTATACAGTATTATTTTTTTCTTTACCGAGATAAAAATGTCAAGTTGTTCACGAATAATATGTGTGGAATATCTTATTCTTCAAGAGTTTTCATCTTACTTTTTAGGATTTTTTGTAATAAAGGAAAAGGAAAAAAAACTAAAGCATGCATTTTTGTGATCTTTTAAAATATGTTTTGGGGTGTGTAAAAATGCCATTGTCTGATTGGACAGAAAAATAATTAAATGTACATGATGCATATTTATAGCAACTTTCAGTTATCGTTCTTGATTTCCATATTTGGGAAATGTCCAGACCTGTATAAGGATATTTGATGAGTTCGCTCTGCGGAACTGGTCTCTAGAAATCGTAAGATCTGCTAATTTCTAGTATACTAAGGGTCATACCCAAAAACGAGTTCTAAAAACAATCAGAAATTGATAAAAAAAAAATTTAAGGACATGTGTTTTAATTAAAAGAGAATATTAAGTTTAATCATTAAGATTAAATCGTTGAAAAGCGTCTTTTTCTTCTTTCCGAGCACAGAGGACATTATCTAATAGATTGAACAGCCCTTGTATATAATAAAAACTGTAAGATGAACTAATGGTGAAACAGATATATAATCAAACTAGAATACTCACATTTAGTTGTCTAAAAAATCAATATTCAGAATCTAGACTTCCTTCAGCCTGCTTGAAATGTTTGTACCAAGTTTTTCTTTGTGTACGTACGAGTAACACGTCTACAGCCGATTAATTCAAAAGCAATTTGATCACGAAATACCTTGACACCCCGGTTTTAAAACGAAGCCAAAGTATTATGCATTCAATTTGAAATTTGTGACTCTTTAGAGCATGTCTGCATGCAAATTGAGTTTCTCAAATATAGGTATTTAAAAAAAATTGCTATTAAGTGAGTGGCTCAGTCGAATTCCTTAGGCAAATGTGTAGATTGACAGACTCTGATTGAGAAAGAGTGAAATAAACATGAAGTAAATGAGTTTATTATTTTTTTGTAATAGCAGCCTAACGTGTGGTAAAATAAGACATTCTTCGTGTGCCAATAATATATCTAATGATTTCTTCATAAATTTCATGTGCAGAAATGTAAAACAAAAACAGACGAATATTCGATTCATATTCTATTGATGCTCTCCATAGTCTACTGATACTCTCAAGGATTAGAACATAACCTACTTATTCAGCCAATCAAATGCTTCCATTTCTCGCGAAGAATTGATTCTTCATAGTGAAGAATTCTTCTATTTCTGAAAAATTCAACGGTGTCTGATTGGTTCACTTGACAGTTATATGGGTGTGTCTTCATTGGTCTTTGTTCAACACGCAAAAAGAAACTATTCAGAACCCACGTGCTGTTCTTTAAAATTTTTCGGCCTTGCTATATTTTTTCCCACTGTAATCTTTTGTCGCCTTTTTGAATATATTTTTTTTTTCACATTTGGGCACATACAGAAAATACAACCATTGTCATGTGTATTAGAGACGAACCTTGTCTTTGAAGACAGATTTAATCACAATTTTCATCAATTTTTTATTTGATATTAAAAAGCCATACCCACTCCTGCTAACTAGGGCCTTGTCATCTTAACATAATCATTTTTCAAAAATGTATGTAGATATTTCGATTCTTGTTACATGGGTATTCATAGGCGTCGGAACCGGGGAAGGGGGGGGGGCGTTTATCCACCCACTTTTCTTGCAAATATATACATTATAATATAGGCATTGACAATTAGGGTTTACCTTTTTTTGTTGGTTTAGCCTCCCCCCCCCTTTCGATTTGATTCCGATGCCTATATGGTATATCATTAGTTCAGTAACTTTAATATCTTCACCATACCATTTTCCCAGTAAATCATGGTATTTCATATAATCCCGTGCTAACCTGAATGGGTTGAGAGTCCATTCTGAAACTACGTGTGTTCGATATTGATTGCGTGCTCGATATGTACACAGCCGTGGGAGGAGTTAATTTTTAATCCATGCATTTGATTGTCTGAGGTTATGTTCTAAGTCAGTAAGATCATACGAAGAGAAATCTTCGTCACAAAGAATGGGCTCAGCTTCGCTCCGCCCATTCTTCATGACGAAGATTTCTCTTCATATGATCTTACTATTACAAGGTATTCGAATTTAATAACATCCCCGGAAGAAATTAAAATTCAAAGATGTTAACTTTTTAAAATGGCGTATGTTTTTTTAAATTTCGAACTGTTTCCTCTCCCCCATTGAACAAGCAAATTGTTTTGAAAAGATATTTTATTATAATAATGCAATGTTTTGAGAAAACTAGACTAAGTGATTTTAAATTTATCAATGGAAATACCAAATGTATCATCAAATTTCTTCAATAGTATTGATTCACGCGAACATATTAAGACCATAGATTTTATAGTTGTTTTGTTACATTTTTAGTTTGAGAATGCAAATTTTATTAAACAAATATATAGTTGATTGCATGAGTTTCCCCCTAATCATGCTACATGTATATGCGTTACGTACAGGATTTTTAAAGGAAGAAAAAAGCTATAGGTCATGAGACGTTTATTTGAGTGGGCACAAATATATATAACTGTACAGTAGATCGTAGCCATATTTTCTATAGTATTGTTACCTGTTTTCCTAGAACATGATATATGTATAATGCATGTTTCCATAGTATACTATATATCAGCAAAATAATGTTCACCCCTCTCCTCGTTACCTACGGCCATGAGATTGCAAAATGAAAATACACTTAACATCATTTTAATTTCAATATTACTTTACTAAACATGTAAATTTATTATACATCGATTCTATAAACGGATTGATGATTTTGTACTTTGAGCAGGTCTAATAAAGTTTATGTATATAGACAAATTGAAATGTCACTGATGACTACATAACAAATATTTGACTTTCGTTTTCGGTGTCCTGAATAATGCTATCTTGGAAATATTTCAAATATTTTTACGTGTTACTATTCCAAAGGTGCAAATGTACCTTAACTCAGTAAGAGATTCATAATAAATTTCAATAAAATAGATTTGTATTTTTTTCATAGAAAAAATTGCATTAAAATAAGACTGTAACAAATGTTTTTGTAATTGTGAAGAGAGAGATAAAAGATGCGAGCGCTGAAGATAGACGTAATTAAATATGCTGACCACTAGGAGTTGAACATGTTATTTGGATGGTTCCAAGAAACGATCCATTGGAATCTGTTTTTACATGTTTATCAAAGGATGTATCTGATTATGGCGAAGAAGCAACCAATAGTATTGAATAGACCAAAGGTCAGATATGTTTAGATAAATAAGCTACATCAAATAATATTGTAGATGTATTATATTAAGTGTACACTGTATTTAGCGGGAAAAAGTGTTTTTTAACAATTTACATGCAGCCTAGAATTGATTTAGCGCATTTCGTGATATTTTTAATCTTGTATCAGCCAGACACGATTTCAGTGGTTGCATTGTGTACAGGTGATATAATTTTGTTTAATCTTTTATATTATAACCAGAAATGTTATGTAAATGTTAAGTATATTTTAAGAAATTATTTATTGTAATCATAACAATTACAAATGGATTGCTTCATTTAATAAAGAGTGGAAAATTGGATTAATTTTTTTATTCTCTTTCTGGTTGCATTTATACAGATTGGATAACATCGACACCACCAATAACCTGTAATGCGCTGCACATGCAGAAAGAGAGAAAGGACGAAGGTTGCACACAGTACTATGTATAGTTTCTATATTGGAGTTGGATATGTATTGGTTTCAATGCCAACTATGATAAGTAAATAATAGATTCCGAAGTAATAATACCTTAAAATATGTGATCCCTTACACATAGTTTTGTGCATGGTTGTAGAAATCATATTAGTCATTTGTGTTATAACTGAAATAGGTGTGGACAGAAAATGCCACAAATATTGTACAATTAACAATTTCAAATTTCTAAGGATAGAACAAAAATAAATACAGAAAGTGCAGTTTATTAAGCCCTGAAAAGTGACAAGAAACGAAATGAAAAACATATGTTTAGAAAAGTAGAGCATAATAAGAGAAAGGTTTGTAACATAAGTGCAATCATGTTTATGTATATACAGTTAAAATGATAATCACTTGATGTATTTATGGAAAATTAAATAATGCACATGGGTGTTCTATATGTTGTATATGGACAAATCCGCCGCACTGTTAAGGCTTACTATGAGAAATCAACGGAAAATAAAAGTGCAAAAACGGGAATTGTTTTTAAAATTGAATTTATTTTTATTCAGCTATTCTATTATCACAGAACTTAAATACTTATGGAAAAACCATAGTATAACATACAATGTACTGTATAGAGTTTGGTCCCATCGATGGACAGTCACGTGATGAACGCATAGTAGGTACACGGAATGTAGGTCAATAAAAAATTTCAATATCGCAAGGGCATATCCTAATTGAAATTAAAAATTAAAGCTATAAATTGTTTCTGTATACTTTGTAGTTTCTGAAAAGTGCTGCTGCTTTGAATAGAATTCGCGTTTTAATACTTAAATGTTCAAGTTAATAGGCCAATGTCGAAATATGTTAGACTTTTACCAAATATTTTGTGTACTTATAAAATAACGGCCTCGATTTAAAGAAAGCAGCAGCACTTTTCAAGTTAAGGAATATATCCTTTATCTATATTTTAAAAATGGTTCAGATCTATGCAGTGTATGCCCTTGCGAAAGTACAATTTTATGAGGCATCTCGATGTAAAATATACGTAACCTGTCCATAAAACATGAAATAATTAATAAAATACATTCTCTTAGTAGTTAGTTAACAATCGCACTAAACAAAGGCTATACCTTTCTATTAATCGACTATTTAAAACCTGTAAATAATATTCCGTTTAACGCATTTTTTCAATGTTAAAAAAATCCTCAATCTGCCTCTCATAACATGTGTTATACGTCATGTTTAACAAAATGACGTCATGTTTACAAGTTCATCGCGATCAGTGCATTGTTTATAACCAGCTACATGGGATTTAACTAGCAATTTTTTTAATGCATTGGTAAGTTTTATTGTTGCTTATTATGCTAATACAGTTAAAAGTTGCAAGTTATTTCAATTTCGGGTATTATGAGAAATACATAAAAGTCATATTTTTGTGTTACGTAACAGTAAACTTTTCCCGTATAAATTAGGCACCGCCCCCTTAATCAAGCCTTAACAATGCTGCGTCATGTATTTCGTTAATTAGTCTGCTGTTTGCACATTTTTAATGTATTTTATTTTCTTTACTCTACCACTGCCCCACTCAACCACAAAGAGGTTATCACTGGTGTCTACACATAAACCCAATGGATGTTGTAGATCACAGTTATTAATCTGTTAGTGTATCTGAGAAACTTTTCATCATGATCTAGGATGTGGATACAGTCATTGTAACAGTCTGCTGCTAAGATCTGACTGTCTGTTGTGATACCGGCTGGCCCAAATGATCCAATGTGAGTAGAGGGATGTATCTAAATCAAAGTTTTCATGCATGATTTACCACCACCACTGCTTTTGCTCTCCAGTCAGATACTCAGATATCCAGGTTCTGATTTTATTGACGTATCTATTAAAGATACTTGGGAAATGCAGAAGTTCACCTTTTCTATCAGACTGAATGGTTTGTTTCTCTATGAAGCCAGAGAAACGGACAACTTTTGAATGAATTTCAGCAATTCAATGGTAACCAGGAGGTCACCAGAGGAAGTTCAACAAAATTTGTTAGGTATCCAACCCTGCAGTCTGATCACTTCCTTCATCTGTTTTTTCTTCACTATAAACTTCCAATCACTTGGTCAGTATAAATTAATTCTCCACTCCTTGTCACTGTTATTGCAAAAGGATTGTTCCCTTGCCTTGTTTGGGTTGACTTCTTTTAAAAGGCTATGGAGTTGTATAATTTTGTCATTCCGACATGTCCAGTTTTTTCATCACTGAGACAGGTTACGCAACAAAGTCTCTCATTGCCAGTGTAAATAATGTTGAGGGGTTCTGGGTTATCATAGAAAGGGACGCTACACCAGTTGTGTTGTCCATTGTTTGGGCTTGGAGAGTGGTCAAATAATTTGGTGACTACATATAAACGTAAATAGAGAACTAGATAACTGAGGGGTAAAAAATCTTAAAGCAATTTCCAAAAAAAAAAAAATCTAATGTTTCTTAAAGTTTCAAGTCATTTAAAGTTAGTTTAGAAGTGACAAGAGGGAAATACTGACATAAAATTGTGCATCTTGTTTGAAAAAAAAGTTTATGAGGAAGGAAATAAAACTATCACTTTTTTGCAATTAATTTGATTTTTATTCTCTTCAATATCAATTGAAAAGGATACTCTGCCTTATCTTAGATCGTTAATGCATTTTGATTTAGGTACTTTACTACACCTTACTACATAAATGACATCTGAGTAATTTCTTACGTCATGTTAAATCTACTTATTATCAAATTGTCTTACAAAGCCCTCCTAAAATGTCATATATGCTACTTCATCTATTTTTTTTGCAGCGGTTTTGTTTTTGCAGTTTCCAGGTCATGTGATTTCAATATTTGGGATTTCGATATATGTTGGTGTTAAAAAGTGGGCCTGGATACAGTTTAATTGTTTACAAATTAAATTCTATATCTATTTAAATGCATTGAAGTACATTGACATTCTTATAATTCAATGACAACGACATTCTCCTCTTCATTACGTCAAGCATTTATAATGCTGTCTTCAAATTTGTTTACTCTGCACTCACTCTAAGCAGGTATTGGCAAATCTGATAAGTTTGGATTTCACTTTTTCAATTTCTTATTACTTTGAATTTTTTTTGATTTTACCTGTACTTTTATTTTGATTATTTTCATTTTAACACAACAAGATTTCAACATAAATTCTAATGAATAAGGTATACTTTGTGAACGTTTATGGAAAGTGTTAATAATCTTTTTTTTTTATAATATCCAGATAAAGGAAGGCTTTTTATATCAAACACGCTTGATAGGGCATGAAATGCAACAAATATATTATGCTTTATGCCTATAAATTCAAAATATATTAACTTATAATTTGTTGAGACCCTCTTACAAATATGGTGATAACGAACAGTTTTCTAGCTCAAAAGGTCCATTAAACATTACAATATAGGAGAGGAGCAAACACAGACTTCAAAAATAAAAGAGGCAGAATTGGGTGCCATGAAGGAGTGATCATCTCCTGCTTAAACGTACAGAGTGGTAGACACTGTAATGAGATGGTTATTGTATTGCTAATGATGAAGACCGAATCACTATCATCTAACTACCTCTCTTGTTTTTTGTATTTTTGTGTTTCCCACTGTTATTAATTAAATGTCTCCTTTTTTCAGATTTCAGCCAGAAGTTTATTTTTAGGGATAAGAATCTTCTCTTGACTTCATTATTAAATAACTTTATTAAACAATTCTAACTACATTTGTGTAAATATGCAGTGTCTGAAAATATTAATTAATTTTACTAAACTCTACTTATCACAAAATAGTAAATTTTAAACTCTTCTTTAAAAGTAAAGAAAACAACAATACTGTAAAACCTTCAAAGTATTTTTCTTTTGGATGGAGATTTTGGAATATTATTCACACAAGGTTAAGACATAATTGTATTTCAAATTCTGACCTATTTCGCTGTAATTTAATAGACAATCCGAATTGCCAATGTGGACAAATAGAGGATTCTTATAATTTTTTTTTTTTGTTTATAGAAAATATGTAACAGCAAGATATTCTCTAATGAATTTTTTATTATCATTCAACAATTTGTATATTATAGATGTCCATTTGATGTTATTGGGGAGTTGATTAACTCTCTGATGAACAAAATATAGAAATTTTTGAAGTTTTTCATACCTTTTTAAAAGAATGTGGAAGATTCTCTGAAAATTTTTAGCTTTTTGTATATGTAGAATTGTATTATGCATCAAGTGCTAACAGTCTTTGACACAAATAATTGTTATTGAAAATAATTGTTCTTTATTTTGGCAATGTTATAAAATGTTGTTTAAGGAGAAGACTATGAGAGTTGTCGTAGAACTTGTGGTTCTCCTTTTGGCTTTAACCCCTTCCATGGCAAAGATTTTTCGCATTTTTAGAGAAATGATATCAAGATTTTAATGCATTTTTTCGGGTATTTCTTGTAGTTTTTGTAAATACCAATGTATAGATATTCTGAACGTAGGTATCGTGAGGTTTCTGAAAATAATAATGAAAATATTCTCTCTGTTGCCATGGCAACGAAATATGCCCAAATAACTGAGAAATCTCTATTTAACCTTCAATTAGTTATATATTGACTTTTTTAGTTCATTAAAGTATTTAAAGTAAGTAAATTTTGATGTTGAGACATAGCAGCATATTGTTTACCCAAAGTTTTGATAAAATTTTAAGCACTTTAGGGAGTAAATACAGGATTTCAACATTTTATGCTCCAGTAGTGAAAAGGAAGAATAACGTTGCTTAACAGCTATCTCTCGCAATCATAGACCAAGTATTACTCATTCCATGTCTGAAAAATCCTTTGCTTGACAGACAAGAAACTTAGTACATGTACATGTACACTCATGACTGGTACCCCTTAGTCATGATGACCCCTTTTGAGATGGAGGTCAAAAGTTCAAAGGTCAAACTATTCAAAATATATAAAGATATTTAAGGAATGAAGTTAATTTCAACTTATGTTATTCGATAAAACATAACTTGGGGCAGTTTATTAAAAAGCGAAACTGTCCCAAGTTTTGTTATTTAAGGAATGACTCTAATTCTTGGCCAAATTATCGAGTATAATATGGTTTGGGTCAGTTTACGCTTTATAATCCGCGAAGCGGATTATAAAAAAGCGTAAACTGACCCAAACCATATTATACTCGATAATTTGGCCAAGAATTAGAGTCATTCCTTATAATTTAATTTTAATATAATTATTCAACTGGGGATGTAAAATTGTGTTGTTTTTATGAGTTCAAATTTACCGCGCAATAATACAACCGTATTAACGGAAGTGATGGGAAGCGAGGGGAGGTAAAAACTGATACATAGATCTAGCAGCCATGATGCTTGTTTACATGAGGTAAGATCGAGTAACTGTTTGAAATTAAAGGTACATTCATTAAATCTGGAATTTTCCATGAATCCCAAGGACTGGAAATAAGGGGATTGATGGATACAGATGATTATGCTGGTTGTCAAGGGGGTGTGTCCCCATACCAAACCAGATTATACAAAATGTTATGCGTTCCTTTTTGGAAATAAACCAATGAGAGGCAAGAATACAAGCAAAATTAAATTATATCGTTATAATATAAGTTGAAATTAGCTTCATTCCTTATAATTTAATTTCAGTATAGACAATTAGACAATTTTTTTCCTCCAGAATAAGGTTTCAAATTGAGCATTATTTTAAAAGTAACGTCAAGCGAAGTAATACGTTTTTGACGTAACTCATTGTGACGTAGGCAAGTTATGTTATCCAAAATATGATATTTCCTCTGAATGATTCAACCAATGAAATAGCCTGATACAAGTGAAATTAAATTATTAACCATTCAAGATTTTAAAAACCCTTTGCTCAACAAAAAATATACAAGTGGTAAATACTTTCAAGTAAATATCAAGAAAAAATTACACAAGCAGAAACTTACATGTTATATATGGCTCTTGACAAAAAAAAGAATAGAAAAAAATCAAAGACTTTGAACTTTAATAATTCATAGACTTTTCAAATTTGAATGAAGTTGAACTTTGATCTATGACATAGCACATTGTTGCATAATTGAAAAAAAATTCCTCAAACTTAAGGAGATTTACAAAATAAAATCTTAGCTTCCAAAATAACATTTAGAAGATTTGATATGCCTCCCCGCACCTCAGATCTCCAGATTTCCGCATTATTCCGCATTTTTTCCTCATTTTAATATGGAAAAAATGTGGAAAAAAATACGGAGAAAATTAACAATACGGAAAAGCAGAAAATATACGGAAATAATCCGGAAAATAAACGGAAATAATACGGAGAATTGGACTTAGAATTTTTTCATCAAGAACAAGATGTGTTTGTGAGACACAGTAGCACCTGGCGGCAACATTAAGTTCTAAAAAGCAATTTTTAGCAAATGGGTCTCAGTCAAGGTCACACAATCATTGTTCTTGGTGTCATTTGAAAGCACTTTATTAGTGTAGTTTGCATACCAGATTTTAAGTCTCTATCATCTATGTTTCAAAAGTTATGGCAAAAATTCGAAAAAAGCTATATTTAGTACATAGGTCACAGTCAAGGTCACAAGGTCATTGATCTTGGTGTCAGCTGACGGTGCCTAATTAGTGGAGTATGCATACCAAATATGAAGTCTCTATCTCTCACGGTTTTAAAGTTACGGCGAAAGTTCGAAAAAAGCTATTTTTAGCATATAGGTCACAGTCAAGGTCACTGACCTTGGTGTCAGTTGAAAGTGCCTAATTAGTGGAGTATGCATACCAAATATGAAGTCTCTCTCTCTCACCGTTCAGAAGTTATGGCGAAAGTTCCAAAAAGATATTTTTAGCATAAAGGTCACAGTCATGGTCACAAGGTCATTGACCTTGGTGTCAGTTGAAAGTGCCTAATTAGTGGAGTATGCATACCAAATATGAAGTCTCTATCTCTCACGGTTCAGAAGTTATGGCGAAAGTTCGAAAAAGCTATTTTTAGCATAAAGGTCACAATCAAGGTCATAAGGTCATTGACCTTGGTGTCAGTTGAAAGTGTCTTTGTAGTGGAGTATCCATACCAAATATGAAGTCTCTAAGTCTCACGGTTCAAAAGTTATGGCGAAGGTTAAAGTTGACAACAGACAAACAAACAGACAGACATACAGCTAAACAGACAGACAGGACAAAAACAATATGCGCCCCAAAAAATTTGGGTGCATAAAAACTGTCTTGGAGTTAACAGCAGTTCTCTGTTTCTCCTGAATGTTATGTACAATTTGATCGGGATCGGAAGAATGTTTCAAAAAGTCGGGCTCAGTGATCAATTAATTTAAACAACAGACCGCCAAAATTTAACCTTGGCCTCCATGTTGCAACGTCTGCTCTGTCTAAAGGAAGAAGTTTGTTGACCAGATAGCCTGAGATCGTATTGCTGTATCAACCAAAAGATGCAGATACACGTATTTCATATGCGGTAGGTCAGTCATATTTTTTTTAACATGTGTGTCACTGTGATGATGAAAATAAATACTCTAGGCCTAGGACTGAGCTACCAGGCTACGTACGTTTCAGCCAATATGCCCATGATTCAAATCTTTCAATCAGTTCATAGAATTTTATTATGGTTAACCACAATTAAAGGTGTTAATTTTGGGGAGCCATGGGCTGTAATCTCTATCAATGATTTACCATACATTTTTTTTTTTTTTGGTAGCGTCTGTGCATGAGGAGGAGATTTTCTGAAAAAGAATAAGTGCTTATTCAACTTACTGCGATTTTAACGGGCTTAAAGCTTGGTCCATGGATGGTTATGTTTGAGGTATATATATTCTTTTTTTTTCTTTTTTTATTGCTTGTTTAATTAAAAACAGTTCAACTATGATTGTTATTATTATAAATAATATTTTAAACAAAATGAAATTGATATTAAATTGAAGAACCCAAACTTGTGTTTATAAAAAGATTTTAAAAGGAATAAAAGCAATGAATTTTAATTTTATTAATATTGCACCATTATAATTTAAGTACTTTTTTTTTTGATTGATAGGATTTGCCAATTCGACCGCAAGTGCTGCTGCAAGAAATTAAACATGCAGAGACCTTACAAATTACAAAGAAGTCTGAAGAAAATTTTTATTGGACAGATGGGTGTAAAGCACAGGCCTGAGATATAAATTGAATTGTGAGAAATATGAATCAGGGATGCAGGTAGAAAATGGCAAATGTGATCCAGATTGATAAAAAGTGTCTAAAATTTTTTCTTGTTTTGTAAATATTCAATGCTATGTCAATTGTTATTTTTTCCCCAATACCTAATAGTGTTGAACATTTCACTCCCACTTTTGCTTAAATAGAATGAATAAATTTCCATTTATTTAATATGAATATTAAAAAATGCCACATTTTTTCCATGATGAACTTGTGGCTTAAATAAGAGTTCGTTTTTTTTCCATACATGCTCCTATTTGTTTGTCAAAGATATAAGATCCAATACATTGCTCATGAACATAATGTGTAATTTTGTTCATTCATTTAGGGTGAATTCACCATGCATCGGACACATACCTTGCTTCGGACAACTTTAGAGAATAAATTCTCTTTCAACTTAAGAGTTCCGTGTATTTATTTGATTCTGTCTTAAAGATGAAGATTTAATTTTTTTAATGATACCGATTGTTATTATCATGTTGTTATAAAAATACTCCGATAATGGCCTTGAAGTTACGTCATATTTTACATCATCAAAGGGGAATAACCAGAAATTTATGATTTTGCCATTTTTAGAGTTATCGTTCTTTAAATTCAACTTCAACGGAACGGGTCAGACTTTGGTGAATTTTGTCAAAGATTGGAAATTTTACATAAATTTTAAAGAATTTTCCCTTCAATATTTGTATAATTCTTTTTAAAGCTGGTTTTTACTCGTATGTTCATTTCTCCGTACATCGGACACAAATTAACCATGCATCGGACACTTTCCGATGTAAAGGTAATCACGACCATTTTCATACAGAACCCTACTGACAGCTGTTTTTGTCGGAAATAGAAAATAAAAGCTTTAAAATTTCAGTCAAAATACAAGTTATTCATATATGAGGTCTACAATCCGACTCAATTTATTTCTACAAACCACAGTATGATAACCCATGAGAAAAAGGCGCGAATTACCGCATTACAAGCATTTTAAGAATTTCTAAGGCAAAGTGAGACATCTTGAATCGTTCTACATTTGTGAAACGATATCGTCAATTATATTTAAGTTGAGGGTTATTTCTTAGATAAAAGATGAAAGTTTATCCATATAAAGAAATTTAAACCACTGTCATAAAGTTATTATATTTTCCCAATTCAAATACCGTCTGTCCGATGTATGGTAAACAATGTCCGATCCATGGTGAATTCTGAGTTATTTTTAAAAACTCGATTTTTTATAACATTTTCTCAATAAAAAGCATATAATTGTGTCCAAAATTTATATTTTAATCACATACTAAATGTTAAACTTCATTTTGATAGTTTTCCGTCGGTAGCAATATCACTAGGACTTGTTGAAGTACAAGGGTATCCGATGCATGGTGAATTCACCCTATATGTTTTTTTTCTCACAGGGGTTCAAAATTCCTCAAGCCCGACGTCCCGGACTAACAAATTCCGGATCCGGACTCGGCATTTAGAATTCGCCAAAGTCCTGGGACGTGGCTATGTTTCTTGTTTATTTTTTTTTAAGTTAAAAAAATGATCGTAAAGCTAAAAATAAAGCAAATTCTCAAATGTATTAAGTAAAAATGTGGGTTTGTGAGCGTTAAAATACCCATAAAACATTACGAACGTTTCGAAAATACAATCCGTCTTTTTATTTTCCGTTGCGGTTAGACTCTTGCTTTTACGCAATTCCTCATGTTTCCTCCTATATGACAAACGGCAATGAGTTTGTTAAATTTCGGTTTTAGCTGTGACTTACAGCACAGTCTAATTTCTATTTATTGTAACAAATATTTTTTATTGTGGTTTATTCAGTAGTAAGTATTTGTAAAAGTTATTGTAATGTACCAATAATCTACCAGTCTGGTATTGTGTTGAAATACTCATGTATAACTATATGACAGTTTATGGAGGGAAAATTAAACATAAATTAATACATATAGTCCTTATTCATTCAATGCAACAAATGAAAATAAATTATAAGTAACATAAATTTAATGATGTATAGGTAAATATGGACTCTGAAATTTCTTCCTCGGACTTGCCTAAAATTTACTCTTCAAGTCCTGGACTTGACCATGACAAAAAAAATTTTGAACCCCTGTCTCATAATGATATAATAAATTGTATATAATTTTGCACATTGTTGATGGTTTTGTAAATATTTATGTATGTATGCATCATGTAGCGGTTTTATTAGCCATTTTATAACCATGTGATTAACTCCGTATTTTCTCCAGATTTCCGTATTTCCGCATTTTATCAACCAAGTAAATACCTCCATATTTTGTATATATGGAAATGCGGAAATCTGGAGAGAATACGGAAAAAGAGTCCAAATACTCCCATCCACATTTTCTCCATATTTTGAATACGGAGAAAATCTGGAAATTTGAATCTACGAAAATCTGGAATGAATGCGGAAAATTAGTCCAAATACTCCCGTCCGCATTTTTTCCTTATTTTGAATAAGGAAAAAATGTGGAGATCTGAGGTGCGGGTCTATACATGGTATTCAAATTTTAAAATATAATGCGTAAAATTAAGGAATATTAACCTTGATCTTTGAGTCATTGTAATGTAGAGTAATCCTATGTTTTATGTATTCCTGCAAGTGACATCTCATACAAATTTTCCAAGCATGATTATGTGACTTACGTAACAAATTGATCTTAGAGATTAACATCAGAATGAAATTCCCTGAAATATCGTTCACTACACAAGTGTTTGTTACACCCTTTACAACCATAAACTGTCTCCTTTCTTTTCTTTTCTCTGTGTTTGGTACACCATTTGCATGTTGACTTTAGGCGATCCAGATGGCAAAAAACATGAGGGGGGTCAAGAATACCCTGTAAATGATGGCCCCGCTTTATTCCTCTGAAGCCTCCAATAAGTTGCTGAGCCACCTCCATCCTGAAATCCAGCAGGTCAAACCTTGTTTTGGCAGGAAGATCCTTACCAGGTGTTCTGGAAAAAAATCTCAAATGCATTTATAAGGCAAACTTCTATGATAAAGTTGAAGAAAAACTTCCAGTATTTTTTGGATGGTCTGCCAACAGGATTCTTTGCGCGGTGTTGCATGCATCTGTCGACTCCACTCATATAACGTTGATAGGAAGATACTGGTGGAGGACACATAACCTCAACAAAATTTCCACCCCGAGTTCGACGGACAACTGGGCCATCTCCAAACGGACTACAATTAGTGCTCAAAATATGTACCTTAAATAAAATTGCATAGAGATATAGGCCTAACTGGAAATTAAACTTACGCTACATAAAGATATATTTACTTCTTTGGGATTTTAAGATAAGCACTGAAACTATATCTGCACTATGAGACTTTTAACAAAGATATACACAAAAAATTGCACAGGAATATCATTAATCAGATAGACCTTTATGTCCTCCTTAACTCTTTAGTTGAAAGTTTAATAATTGCAGGTACAAGTGTAATTGTGATAAATGTTGCTATTTTTATTAAATTTTGAAACATAGTACAAGTCTGTATGAAGACAATGAATATGTAGTACATGTAATACCGTTTTCTTATCTTTCCAAGCAGTGGCAAGCAATTGGTCGTGCTGCATCTGTAATGTCTCCCCTCTCCTTAAATCTGGATTTCTCAACTCTGGCGGAAATCCTTCTGAGTCGCTCTTTATTGTCCCACAACTAAAAATCCCATTCTGAAGCAAGGTTCGCACCAAGGAAATGGATGTAAAGAACCTGATATTATATAAAGTATAAAAATATAAGACATTGGAAAATATGAAATTATTTTGATAATGAATCTTTTATCATATTTATCACTCAGTCTTGTTGTACAATGTTGAAGTCATTTTAAGTTGTTTCAAACACCAACCTGTCAAAGAACACATGATGGCCTTTGTATTTCAATGGTCTACACAAGTGTTTGACGACTCTTTCTCCTAGTGACTTTCCATGAAAAAAAATCATGTTTTCCCATATATGGCCAATAATCGTAGCAATAACCATCCTCATCACATCTCATGAATATCTGAAAAAAATATTTTGTTGCATCAAATTTTTTTATAACTATTCACCTAGCATTTCAGAGACATACATTAGCCGGTGGACCATTTACTGGGGGATGATTACCGTATATAATCGCCTATCAGTCAGATTTTTGGGAGTAAATCTCTGGTCCAAAACTCTATGTCCGACTTGTAGGCTAGCTATAAAATGAATGGTATTATATGAGGTCAGTCCCTCTGATATATAAGCCTATTAAATACAACCAACTTATAGGCGGACCGACTTATAGGCGAATATATACGGTACCTGTCCTTCTCATCCATTCCCTGGTCCACCTCATCATCATATCATAATATAAAAAAATTTTAATGCTTCCTTAGTGTTTTTTTAAATATGTAATTAATAATTTTTAAAAAATTACATTATTTTGTGTATCACAATATCAATTTATTGAATGCAAATAGGCATTTCATTGATACAAACCTTAAAACCTCTCTTGACCGGTTTATTCGGCATGTATTGTCGATGAGATAAGAAATAAAGAAACAATTTTAAATGACTTACACTGCCTATTCCAGAAGAGCTCTAAGCAGGTGTAAAGTATTTTCATTTTATATTCAACATATTCCTCAATATTTAGAAAAGTTTATGATCCGAATTGTTTCATGGTAAAGGTTTGAAGACATTGGTCAGCTCAACATCTACATATATATTGTTTGAATAGAAATACAAACATAAAGTTAATACAAATGAAACAAATTGAATGGGTGTGCAATTTATAGACAAAAACAAAAATGCACAATACATTATGTTTATATCTTTGTTACACACACAAAACAAAGTAAACATTGTAGTCATGAAGGTTTCCAGACAATGCAAGACACAACAATTATGAACTTAACATAAGTTCATTACATGTAATATTATTTCTTTATTTTTAATTTTTATCAAGAAAAAATGGATCAGTGTCCGTTGTAAATATAATAAAATTTAATGTACTTTTCAAAATCTGGAAAGGAAATGACTGACAATATTTTTTTTCAAATTGTGACATGAACATTATCTGATTATTGTAAACAGAAAATAATCTAAAGAAACAAAACGATATAGGTGCAAATTTTATAACTTACCGATAAACTTATCAGATCACCAATACATAGTGTATCTGGGAAGCTGAATAATCCCCATCAGAATTTGTAATCCAAGGAATGCCTTCATCTCGTCGATAGTGGTATCCGTCCAACCCTGTGCTCCACTCTGAGCAGCATACGAAATGGTGTTGTCCACAAGTACCTGTACCAGACTCAAGGGAAACAAAAGCATGAAATATAACAGAGGATTTGCATCCGAAGAGAGCTGATGAGTGGGACCTGAATTATCGACGAAGTCTGGAACCTCAGTCTTCCACAACATCAGTCCAGAAATCAGAATCTCTATTGTCGCTTGCCTGGCTGTCAAGGTCAAATAATGTGGAATCTGTGTCCTGGTTGTTATCGCTGTCTGTCTCACTTCCAAAGGAATGGTCGCTGTCTGAATCATCCTGATCAAAATCTGATCCAGATTCGGATTAATCGTCGCCAAATTCTTCGTCTGTATCTATATCTGACGATTCTGGGGATGAAGAAATGTCGCAAGAAGCCATATTGTTTACACGTGTTACGAATGTTGCCAAATATACGGAGAACGATCCCGACAGATTTTCATAATATTTTCGCATGTTTTCTTTTTTTATCAAAACAACAAAATCATCTACTTTATTGTAAAAGTGGATATGTGATTATGTATTTTAAACAATTTTTTACTCGTTTTTTTTCTATTTCAGGGAAATTCAAACATTTTTATATCCATATATCGTAATACAAACGTAACTCTCAAAAATATTTTTTGAATTTGTCAACTAAAAACATTTTTTATCATTATCTAACACGCGTATTTATATTTTAATTAGATAATTAGTTCCTAACACATCTAATTTACTAAACTATTTGGTTTTGATATTTTCTGAAGTTGTTCAAACATGTTTTGCTACGAAAAATTGACAAGTGTTTGTACCGCTTGGATTTCGATCGCGGCAAGTATCGCTTGAATAATACACGTTGTTTAACTCAAAATACCAAAAAACTGGTAAATCAAATTTAAAAAAATTTAGAACAAACTTTCTTTGCAATCGTTCCCTCTTTCTAATGATACAAAAATTATTTCAATATTCACAGTATTAAAGAAATTATGAATATTTGTTTACACTCTACACGTTTTTCACGCCAGAGGCGTAGAAAAGCGTATATGCCATGGAAGGGGTTAATTGTCAATAAAATATGTTCAATTCAAAGAAAACAACTGGGAGCCTACAAATTCAGAATACACGAGGGGCGGAGCTATCATATCACTCAGAACTTCTTTCACACATGAGGGAACAAAGCAGACTCAGAAAGCAGTCTAAAGGACAGATGGGACTGCTGGGTCTGCTTTTCAGAACGGTCCAAGGGCAGTCCCAGACAGTCCCAGGGCAGTCCCACAGGGGCCCCTAAACAGTCCAAAAGCAGTCCAGGGACTGCTTTCTGGGACTGATTGTGTGTCAAGTTGGGTCTGCATGGTCAGTACTGTAGACTGGGATTACCGGAATCTAAGGAGAATGTATCATTATACGTTACTTATATTCAGTTTTATGAAATAAAAGGAACTTTTGAGATTGATGACTGCTTCACTTAGATAAAAATATTTTTCTTTTAGACCTGTTTACTTGTATAATTCAAATAGATCCTTAAATACACGGATAAAATCATCTAAATAAACATCCATAGGCTATATTTCATGAAATATCGGTTCACTTGATAAAAAGAAATTAGAACAAAATCTACCGTGTAATATATTCACACTGATAAGTTTTTAAACCTAAACATTCATAGTTTATATTATTCCGTTTACTTTAGTGAGCCCATGTGTCAGTTTTCATAAAAAATCTAAAGCTAAAATTCAATTCTTTTATAAATAACCTTTTTATATTCCCCTATATATATTGCTGATGAAGTATAATTTAGTACAAAAACTTCTAGGTGAGAAGTATGTTAAACATATTTTAAAACCGAGAGAGGCTTCTGACTGATAAGTTTATGTTCCCTGGGTTCTCACAACTTAGATTTAGTTTAGTATTTTGATCGTCTCTTCAAAGTTTATTAAATGAGTGGAAAAGAAGGAATCTCACATCATGAACAAGAATAGTCACCAAGTCCTTGCCTAAATAAATAATATTACAAATATCTATTTTCGAACTAATCCCACCAACAAAAAAAATTCCAAAAACTAAATCAAAATATGATTTTTGAAATTCTCATGTTAGCAATCAGCTTACTAAATGATACCCCCGCCTTTCATAATGTCCATGTAATGCTATATATTGTTTTACGGTAATGTGTAAAGAGGAATAACTCGTCCAATCAAATGTATTCTAGAAGTTTCTATATGTAAATTCATAGGTAAACATATAATGGCAATATCCATGTTTTGCTATGGAAAACCAAAAATATGTGACGAATAAAAAAGTAAAATAGGAGGTCACAATGGCAATATGTAATAAAAATTCTGTGAAAGTTTCATTAAATTTTTCTCAGTAGTATAGTAGGAGTTGCGGATAAGAGAAAACGTGTAACAGACGGACGGACGGACGGACGTACAGACGGATGGACGGAAATCCCGATTACTATATACCCTCCCACTATTCAAGCGGGGGGTATAAAAAAATAAGTTGTTACTCGAGAATATGTGAATGGCGTTAATAATGGCTAATGTTGAACATTTTAATGCAAGTATAAATTAATTTGCAGCCTATAATAGGGTCCCAAGCTGATATCACACAAGTGTGCAGTAATAATTTCAGTATGGCGTGGTATTCTGAATGTTATATAGGATTAATCAAAATTAGGTATTTGTTTACATGAAAAAATATTTAGCAGGAGGTGTTAAACATCACCTGTCACATTAGCTGAAACCAAAAAACAGCTAGGGTACCTACACGACATTTTCGGATTTCTTCCTTTTGGAAATAGGGCTACCCTCCAAATCCACGTGTTTTCATTGTGTTTATAAACACCTCGAGTGCATCACAGGAAGTAGCTTCCTATGCCCTGAAAAAAAAGTTCCTGTCAAAAACCTTTATTTATTCACAAAGTACAAAACGTTTACTAGGCACAGGTACCAAAGTTGTAAAAATGGCCTGAAAGAAAATAGAAAAACGCCTCAAAAGAAAGGAAAATCAATTTTATATACATGGACCTACATTTGACTAAGTTCATTTCGATTGGTCAATTACCGGTGTGATACCTTGAACCATTCAAATGTGTTGTGATTTCTCACAACCTATCCCTTCCTAATATTGGCGTAAGTAAATCGCCAATAGAGACATGTTCGGTTCAGTCATTTTTTTTCGCAGAAAAAAATACATGTATTGGTGTATGGGGTTAAGTAATAACATATAATATACATTTTTAAAAAAACTGGTTGGAGGTGCAAAAATTGCATACAATACAAAATATGGTACAAGTGTACACTATACAGTGTCAAGCGACTTTATATTACCGTTAATTTTTCGAACTCAAATTTACTCATCTATGTATTTGCTGACACACAACAGAGAATACAACAACTCAAATAGCTCACTACATATGTGCTCACTGTGCTCCGTGGTAACAAAACGTGTTGCTTTAAAAATCGTGAGTTCTAATTAACCAAATGGAATAAACTTCATACTAAGATAAAATAATTTTTTTAACGAAAATGTGTTGATCTATAATTAATTCATATTAATGTGACGATGAAAAACAACATGAACAATGACTATGTATTCCTTGAATGATCCTAGAAGGTAGAATGCGTAGAACCAGGACTTTCACCACTCTATAATATCATTCTGTAGGAATGCATGTACTCTAATCGATCTCTCTCGAATTCATTCAAATTCAGATTAGAAGTATTCTCTATGATATACTTGTCTGCTGTCATGAATCAAAATTTCGTTTTGGTAGGGATGG